CTGATCCATATTTTTAAAAAATTATTATATTTACAATTTACAAGTTCTATTTATTAAAAAAAATTAAAATAATAAATTTTTTTAAGTTTTGTTTAATTCACTTAAAAATATTTTTTTACACTTTTTCAAATGAGGTGGGCCCCATTAAAAAATAATTTTTTTTTAATAAATTTATAGTATTTAATATAAAATTAAGATCATTTGTCATAATAATCAATTAATAAATATTTTGAGTTATATATAATCACATATATTAAATTCATAATTTATTTATATTAATATCATTAAATTTTTATTAATTAATATAGTTTATAATTATAATTTTTTTATAAATCTAAAATAAAATCTATATATATTATCCTAGAATAATATTGATCTTTTAACTCCAATTATTAAAAAAATATTTTTTTATATCATATCATTCATTTTAAATATTTATTTTTAAAAATGATAAATCTTTAAAATATAATTTTTTATATCTTTTAATCTTATATTATGATTATTTATTATTTCTAATAATGTTATTATTATTATCACAATTATTGTTATTAATATTTTAATAATATTTTAAAAGCAATGCAGGCCAAGCTTTGCATTCTCCATCGATGTTGTAGGAAAATATAATAATGACCCGTTTCTTTAGTTTGTCAATCAAGTGGTAAGTAGGTGTGATTATAAACATATAAGCCAAGTTAGTTGGACAAACATATTATACATTTAATGTCCTAAAACGAATGTCAAAGTCATTAGTTATGGTTGTCCCACCAATTATAGCCACTCGATTGAAATCATCCTTTGATTAGTTGGTGGAAATTGTTCATGATTTCCCTTTACTTTTCGATATATATATATATATATATAATTCTTTTAATCTAACAAAATAATACTTCAATTAATTAATTAATCAACCTCGAGTAAAGGCTGCTGAAATAACCGATTCAAATCCTACAAGACATTGGATGAATCACGTTGCCATCTCTGAATGAGGATAATAAACCGAAACAATGACACATAATTCTATATCTCATCAAAGAATTACTAGTTTTCGTGTAATAATAATAATAATAATAATAATAATAATAATAATAATAATAATAATAATAATAATAATAATAATAATAATAATAATAATAATAATAATAAACAACTTCAACACACTCTCTCCCTCTTTTTTTTTGCAAATATATATATTTTCATATATCGTAAAGTAAACTAAGAAATTTGCAACATATTTGTTCTGATCGATAACTTCGACTATAAGTGTATTCGACTTCGTCAACGATCAACTTCTGAACACATTAATATACGTACGTCTGTCTATACCAGGAATATGAACAAATTAATATCTTAGGACAAAAGAAAACAGAATAACGAATGTTATTTAATAATTAAGGAAGAGCCAAACAACTTTTTAGACCAGTCTTTTACCGTTTAATGTTCTGATTCAGAGGATGATTGATATGAATATATAAAGCTTAAGGATGTTGATTGGTAGTTAAACACCGTTCATGACATTTCATGTTATATCTAAAAAAAGTTCCACAAAAAAAAACTCTAATTAGGTAAAGAAGAGAGCGTGCAATGTACCATATCGTAATTTAAACAAGAGAAATGAAAGCTGTAAGCATCGATGCGAAGCAGGTCGGACCCCCTCCCTCTCATTACACCATAAGAGTCGGGGTACCACTTTGTCCTTTTTTTCATTACACTATATGCACTCTCTTGTCGTTTTTCCCTCACCTTGTTTTGTGTATATACACATACGTACGTACATATATATGCATATAGATGAGAATTATGTGGAGTTTTACATGGATCATTCAACCGAATTCAATATATAATTAATAATAATCTGACTTGGATTTTATAACCAACGAAATCTACATTACTATTAGATGGTAACAAAAAATGAGCTAAAATCCATGAAATGATGCGATGTTTTGGTAGTGGAGAAATATATGATAGATGTAAGAAGAAGTGACAGACAGGAGCTGTGAGGAACCTGGGGTTGGTGTCTGTCTCTTACAGACAAGGGACATATGTTCTCAGACGGGAATTATTTTCTCAATACCACACCTTCTCCCCTTTTTTCAAAAATTATTATTATTATTATTATTATTATTATCATCTACCTAAAAGAGTAAATACTGTTCCTTTTTTTACTTAATGTTTTTTAATAAATGAGACCCATGATTTATTGTTGTTGACGTTTTACAATTATATATGAATTAAATTTGTCCATAAATCGGAACTCTCATAAAGTAAATTGGCATTCAAATCCCACAAAAAATAAGCATGACTTTTAAATATTGCAAAGCACAAACTCCTCATGTGATCGTGGACCGACACAATCTTTGCAACAATTTCAAAATTCTCTCCCTCTTTCAACTTTTTTGTGACCCCATAATGCTAAAAAAAATGTGAAGATAAAATATTTTCCAACATTTTGAAGTCCTATAAAGTAAAAAAAAAATATGAAAATAAATTTATATGTAAGGTGTAACTTGAGTCATGTTCGGACAGGTGTAGAAGCCAATAAGGCTGTGTTTGTCTGGTATGAAATTGAATACTACTCCTCTATTTACCACAATCTCCGTGACCATCGAATATGTGTATAATATATATATATATGTGTGTGTGTGTATAGGTAGGTATAAACATAGGTTTCAACTAAATATCGATTTTTATATATGTTATAATATTGTTTCGGGGTAAAATTCTATATGATTTATCATTAGAGGGAAGCACATTATATCACATGCCCATGCTCTTTTCCACCCCCTTTTTAATTCTTCTAGCAGCATAGCCGAACCCGCTCAAAGGAGAGCCTACATGTCTAATTAAATACCATTTCTCATTTCGGAATCTTATAATTGTAATTGCATGTTGCGTTATTCTGTTACCTACATATGTATATTGATGTAGGCCGGCTGTTTAATTAATTTGTTGAAATCGTACATATGTTACATCATGGTCCATATGGATCATACATAGTCAACATAAAAAAAATCCTTGAACTTTCGGTTTTGATTTGACCAATAGACAAAAAGTCCAAGGGAAATAATGTTGTTTGGATTGCATGTGATGTGTATCCGATAACTTGTGGACAAATCCATATCTCAAAATTTATTATCGGATTAACACTAATTTGAAAGGAAAATAAAATTTATTTTTTATTACGAATTTGCAGTTAATTTAATATATAATTAATTTCATTAATTTTATATAAATGAATTTAAATAATTTTATCTAATTTTAGTATTTATTAGGCATGTTTATTCCATTAGTAACCTAGACCGGGTCGTGTATGTATATGTAAGTATCCTGGTCATATGATTGCATGTATTATAACAAAATGCAGAAATGATTCATACTTCAAAGTTTTCAATTAAAAAATATATAACAACTGAAGTATACATTATAGTATATATGTATAACCTAAACAAATATGTTTTAGGAGTCTATACATGGGATGGACCACACACACAAAAAAACAAAACTTTGATATAAAAAAATAGCAAACAACTCGAAACAAAATAAAAATAAGAATAATTTATAGTGGCACCCAACTTGTGGGGAATATCTAAGATGTGATAGCATGTCTGTTTTTGTTACAGAAAGCTAATTAAATTCTGTTTTCTGAAAAAAAAAATTTTTTTTTACAATGGAATAAATAAATAATGGCATCATAAATGGATAGCTTCCCATTGAAAGGATACAAAATGAAATGAAATGGGCTAACCGGTTCAACTTTTCTAAGGAAAAAAAATTATTGAATCAGCATATAATTAATTTACAAGTAAAAATATTGATATATATATATATATATTAAACTCGATTGAATAAAACAATTAAATAGTTATACTATTGTCCGGTTTCACTTAAGCTTCTTGTTTAATTCAAATTTCATGATTTGGATTTCAAGCTTTCATCCCTAAATAAATCAACATATACATAGACACGAATCGTATGTACACCAAATGTAAGTTTAGTATTAATTCGAAGGTCTATTGATTAATAATTAAATATCTAATGGTTGTTATGTGACTTTTGAAATTCTAATTCTAATTCTCACGATTTATGATTTTAAAAAGAAATATAAAAAAACACTAAACTTTTCAATTTTGATAAGAATACATAAAAGTTTATGTATTTTTTTATTTTCAATTTTTCAATTTTCAAATAAACATTAAACTTTTTAGATTTGTCAAAAAAAAAATATTTAACTTTTTAAATGATCCAAAAAAATATAATGCGATTAAAATTAAAAATTGAAAAGTTGAAAAGTTCATTTGCTTTTTGGGATTTTCCCATTTAAAAATTAGTTAATTAATTAACGTAAAAATACTAACATCGACGTTAATTTATTTTTTTAATTAAAATTTTTCCAAGACGAATGAAAATTTGAATCAAACATAATTAAATTGAAAATAAAATAAAAAATGAATTTTTTACTATCAGAGGATTTTGACCATCTATTTTACTGAAGGCGGTCCATAAAACCACATCGTTCCACCACGAGAGAGAGAGAGAGAGAGAGAGAGAGAGAGAGAGATTTCTTCACAGCAACTAGAGGAAGGATCCAAAGGGATCGCATTGATCCTAATTAAGGTGAATTCTTTTGGTTTATTTATTTAATTTGCTTTGATTTTGGATCATGCTATCCCTTTGGATCCATCCTTCGGTAGCTTCTCATCCAGCAAGAAGGTTTCGATCCCTCAGATTCTCCGGCATTGACATCATCGGACGCATCGCCGGTGTCCTCGCCGGCGGAAATTCCCGGCGCCGACGAGGCTACCCAACAAGCAAGCAACTTGTTCTTACGCCACGAAGACAAGGACCATATAATTTTCTTTTTTCCCTTGGTTGCTTCTTAATTACAAGTAATTTACATTGTGTATTTTAACCTATATATATACACATATACGTATGTATCTTCAAAGAAATAATCGAATATATATATATATATATATATATTCGTTGAGATGGTATAGGTTAATTATACTAATCATTTTTGTTTAGGTTAGTTGGTAATTTTGACTACACAAGCTGCACATCACTGGCTTCTTTATCTCGCTATTATCTCGAATCATTAATGCTGGAACATAAAACAGAAATAGATTTGTGCTCTATATATAAAATATGTAATTTGAAGACACCCATTTTTTCAAGTGTTATTTTATAAATCGTTTTTATAATAATATTTATAGAAAAAAGATAAAAAGTGAGCTCTTAATGATGTTTATAACAATTGACTAACATAATTTATAAAAAATAAATATATAATTATATTGGGAATTGAATCTGAAATAAAAATTGGTTGGATATTATATTTTAATCAAATTTGAACGAATTTTAAATGAATAAAATAAATTTTATTTAGAAAATAAATATTTTTTAATAAAGGTATTAGACATAAAATAAAAAAGATATATTTTTTAAATAAAAATAATGATATTAAAATGAAATAATTTAAGCATAAATATATTTTTGATAATATGTGTAATTGTTCTAAATATTCAAAGTTCTGTGATCATCAAAGGATACTTCCAATGCAATGATTTTCTCCTTCTTTTTAATTTTAAATAACCCTAACTTTTTTATTACACCAAATTGGTAATGATTTCCCCCGTTGGTCAAACTTTCTTTTCTTCGTTTTAATCAAGAATTTTCTTTTACTGATTTTATTTTTATTTAACTGTTTTTGCTTTTTACCGTGGTCAATGGATATTTTTATTATTTATTTTCCAATATCAAAAAATCAAAATAGGCGTAATAATATTAATAAAATAAAGATATCAAACCCGAATTAACCTCAATGAAATCGGTCAAATATTAAACACCTCGCTAATTCATAACTTTAACGAGAATCCAAGAAAATCAAGAAGACCCTAACAAAAGACCCTTTGACCGTTTCTTATTAATTATTTTCTATTTATTTTTGCAAGATATCTAGAACAAAACATATATGCCTACGGAGAAAATAAATTTCAAAACTGATTAAAATTAATAATATTGATAGAAAATAAAATTCGACACCTTAATATTATATATATATATATACAGACATATACACGAGCAATTAGGTGATAAGAATTTAAAAGACTATATAAAAAATGAAAATATTGTGATAGAACTATATTTAAACGTATTTAATTTCCTTTCCTTACACAACCAAACATCACATTGAGTGTCCGAAAGGTAAAGGCAACGTAAAGAGATCTTGCGACGGCAAAAAGATCATCTCTCTTCTCTACTCTGTGGTCTGTTTTTTTTTTTCTTTATTCACGTCGAAGGCCTTGTATTGTCTTGCAATATGTCAATCTCTTTTTTTTTTGTGGCTTCGTCATGAAATTCACGTGTTTCCCTAAATGCAGAATTCACGATTCTTGAATTTTATCTGATTTGGTTTTTATTCCGTTTGGTATTTTCTAAACCGATTCGGTTCAATTTTTTATGATTTGGTTTTAATGTTGACAGCCCCCCAATGTGATTTTGGGCCAATCCATATGAAATTAGGGTTTTGGGCCAATTTGATTTAGGTTTTAAACCAAAAAAAATTGAGAACGTTAAGAGGCCCAAGATCCAAGAAAGTTTGGGTTTGCAAATTTGGCACCTGTTTTCGTATACTGATTCCACTCGAGTTCCATCGTGTTAGGGTTTTTTCTTTCCATCACTGGGTTTCGCGTCGTCTCGGGGAAGAATAGGTGGAGGAATAAGGCAGAGATCATTTTGGATCGAAAAATGGTGAAGGGTCGTCAAGGAGAGAGGGTTAGGTAATGGAATATTCGATAACAGCATCGTTTTCTTCCATTTTTCTGTTGAATTTATGTTTCGGAAGTGTTGCATTGCTCGAAACGGTTGTTCGCCTGACAAGAATCTGCGTCTTTTTGTTGTTGCAGGTTGTACGTGAGAGGAACGGTCCTCGGATACAAGAGGTACTGTTCAGGTCTATGTTTTGTTCGAGTTTAGATTTGTGGTCGGAGATTGTAGTTTCTAGTTGGGCGAGTCCTTTATTGAGCGACATAGAACGGAGTAATCTATCGAATGCTTTGTCTTTTGGGTTAGATTTCGATCAAGGCCTTCATCCATAGAGTTCGATGAATTTATTCTTTGCATCACTTCTCGATTTCTGCTCTACTTATCTGAATGAGATGATGCGTTTGTTTGACGGGTTTTGCCATTGCCAGCCATGGATTTTGATGTTTGTTTCTAATGTTTGAGATGTCCATGTTTATGTTCTGTCTGAAGGGAAGAAAATTGCATTGCATCCGAGTTAGTCACGTTTTGTGCAATACTTCAAGTTAGTTCTGTCCGTGTATGATTCCCATTCGGTCACTGGTGTCTCCCATTATTTCCGATTAAAATGAGGCAGAGCGAAGACAAAGCTGTCTCGTTTTCGTGTCTCGAGACTCATAATTTTCGATTGCTTTATTGTTTAACCATTCGATTTTTCTGAATTTTGTTTGTGATCCTTGCGTATCTGCTTTTGACATCCGGGTTATTACTCGATAACTCACAGCTAGTGATTGATTGTTCAGGTCTAAGTCAAACCAATACCCAAACACGTCCCTTGTCCAGATCGAAGGTGTGAACACCCAAGAAGAAGTGGCGTGGTACTTGGGAAAGCGTATGGCTTACATCTACAAAGCAAAGACTAAGCAGAACGGATCACACTATCGTTGCATATGGGGGAAGGTCACTCGGCCTCACGGCAACAGCGGTGTTGTCCGAGCCAAGTTCAAGTCAAACCTTCCTCCAAAATCAATGGTATTCTTCTTTTTTATTTTTGATTTTTTTTGGGTCAGCAATTAGATTTGGTCCTTTTATCTATGGTCACATCAACTTCCCTTGATGGGTTTATTGCAGGGAGCTAGAGTCCGTGTGTTCATGTACCCCAGCAACATATGAGGTATCATGTCTTTTTTTTTTTTGCCTTTTGGATGGCATTTTTGGTTGACTGACTGTCCTGTTTGGTTGTCATCTAATGCAAAACCACATATAGATTCTCTTCTTGTTTCTGTTAAGTATGTCTTGGGTGTTGGTTGGCGTTCAGAGGGTCATGTTATATCCTATCCACAGCCTCCACTTTATCTCTCATCCCTCTGAGGAATAAAAAGTGAATACATAACTATTCCTTCCATAGCGATGTATGAGAATTCTGGGTGGCTGCACTTTCATGTCCTTTGTCTCCTGGCATAAGCATAACAATGTGAGAGATTAGGCGTGGCTTAGGGTTCATCGAATCATCATAGGATCAGGAATCAGAGATTCGTCTCGGTCTGTTCCTCCAGCTATGATTAGAGGAGGAAAATGATCTAGGACAAAAGTAACTAGAAGTTAAAAGCCCTGTTTCAAAACAAAACTGAAAACTTCATCTTACAACCACTACTTTTCATCTGTGGCCTTATGTCTTGATGCCACACCAATGGTGGGTTATTTATTCATCTGTTGGAAATTGTTTTGTCTGTTCCATGTTGTCCCTGTGGGTGCTAATTGAAGTTTGGGGATTTTGATCTGCATTCCTTGTTGCAGGAGTCAAACCAAGATTCTCAGAACCCAGGTTCATTTATCATCTTGTCTCTCCTTTTTTTTTAAAAAAATTTTCTTCTCGTGTCCAAGACTTGATGCCAGTTTTGTTATCTGTCGGAGAAGTTAAGATTAAGTTTTATGGGGAAAATCCAATTTTTGATGAATGGAATATAACCAGAGAAGGTTGGTCCATGTGAGCGCTGACTTGTGGCATGGCTTCCCATATGATATTTTGTAGGAATTGCATTTATTATAAAAATGGATTAGTTATAATTTTGTACAATCCAAAATTTTATGAATGATCGTGGTTGTTTATAACTTTATACATAAAAAAAAAAAAGAAATGGCAAAAACTCGCATTCCTTTCACTGCGCATGTAAGGAGTACTTATTAACATTGATAATGACATTGACCTTCAGTTTTCTGAATTTTAGATTTCTTTTTCGGATTAGTTTTTCGCAAGGTTAATTTTGTAATCCATCTCTGCGGTATTTTGTCTTTGATAGCGATCATTTTTGGCTATTTATTTTAAATATTTATCTTTTTTTTTTTGTTTAAAAAAATGTTGGAATAAAAGCAAAAACTTATATGACCGTTTAATCTGTAAATCGCCAATGTCAATGGTATTATGTAAATTTCTCAAATCTTTTGGTTAAACATACATTTCCTTCTCCAAAAATTTTTCTTAATAGATTTTTTTTTGCATAAAATTATTCCGCAACAAAATATGTCCCGAAAACCAATCCATTAAGTCTGTACAAAATATTTTTCTATAATTTTGGAACCTCATTTAACCTTTCATATAAGAAACTGTTTCGAAAAAATGCAGAGGACAAAGCACATATGCAATGATAAACATGTCTTAATCAAACAGTAATTTTCCCATTTAATGTCGAATTAAAAATAAATTAAAAAAGACCGGCCTAAGTGGAACCCCACTGTTTCAGCAAAAATAAAGGGAAAAAAGGCTTCAACTTTAGATATTTTTTTGTGAGCATCTTCTTATTTGGATCGTGCTGAATCGTTCTATCATCTTCTTCATCCTCATTTTCATCGCTCTCATCGTCTCTAGGTCCTCCTCCGTCTCATCATTGTGTAAGCTTCGCTTCAAAGTTTTGTTTTTTTCGTTGTCCAATTTCACCTGCATTTTACTTTTTATTAAAAAAAAGCCTCTTTTCGTTCTTGTGCTATCTCGTCTGTGGATTAGATCGAGTAATGTTTTTCAGCTCAAGTAGAGGGATGCACCATTTCTGAAAATTTTCTGCGAGGTGGGTTCTATTGGGCTTCGCTTTTTTCGCGATTTCGCCCCTGCGATCGTGATCGAGTATGCATATCTAATTTTGGGTTATTGATCAGTTTGTATGCCCTATTTTGGATCTTTGCTTGTAATTCGTCCCCGATTGTTGTATTTTCCGCTTGCTATGACGTGGGTTCCGTCTGATTTGTTCCCAAAGCCGCCCAACTTGATTCATTTTGTCGAGTGATCCATGGATCTACTGTTTGATATTTTCAGAATTGACGGCATAGTGATGCCAAAAAGATCGATTGCTTGGTGGGTTTTCTTCCTGAGTTGTTCTGGTTTTGAAAATACAGGGAGAAAGTTGATTGTGTTTAGTGAGATCGTGAGGTGAGGCTTGAACTCGGGTCTTAGGAGACAAACGAGAAGGAAAAGATATGTCTTTTACGGGCACTCAGCAGAAATGCAAGACTTGTGACAAGACGGTGTACCCTGTGGAGCTTTTATCAGCAGATGGAGTTGGATACCATAAATCTTGTTTCAAGTGTACTCACTGCAAAAGCAGGCTGCAGGTTATAATCTTTTGCCTTCATCACTGGTTGATGTTTGATCCTTTTTGGAATCTTGTGGATGAACTGGGAATGAATTCTCTGTATTGTCTATCCCGTGTCGGTGTTGCTTAATATTGTATTCTCATCCTAAAATTGAGCTTCATCTCTGTCACTGGAATGCCCACTAATCAGTTCTTTGAAAGTTGCCGACTTGTGTGAATGGTTTAAGGGGTAGTGGCTCTCCAGAGAGGATACTTGGTATGATTGGGATTTTATACGGGAAAAAACGTACATAGTTGGGTGATCAAGTAATTGTCTTAATGATTTCAGCTGAGCAACTATTCATCCATGGAAGGTGTGTTGTATTGTAAGCCTCACTTTGAGCAGCTGTTCAAGGAGACGGGCAATTTTAACAAGAACTTTCAGTCACGTATGTATTCTTGTTTAGCTTCTTGATCTTTGATCCAAATATTTTCTCAGAGAAATGCTTTGTCCGTTTGATTTTATCTTGAACTTTCTTTCCTCACAGCTGCAAAGCCAGCTGAGAAGCCAACTCCTGAGCTGGTAAATGTTTCTGAATTATACAACATGTACTTGTCTGTTTATGACAAGGAATGTAGTTTTTCCAATACATGAATATATTTCTCCGGTTAATCTCTTCTCTGATCCTTTTTTCAATCTCCTTTTCGGCTGATCTCAGACAAGGACGCCTAGCAAATTTGCCAGCATGTTCTCCGGGACGCAAGACAAATGCGCCACTTGCAGTAAAACTGTGTATCCTCTGGAGAAGGTATTGCATCGATCAAAGCAGCTGTAGCAATGTCTAAGCTATGATTCTGATTATGCATTTTCCATTAAGGTCGGCTTACTTCTGCTGCCTTCTCTGGTCTCTGCTGGGAAATGACAATAAAATCTAGTTGATCATCCTCCAATAACATCCTTTTTGTCATGATTGTTGGGTTCTTGTTGTTTCAGTTTGCTCACATTGGTCATAAAATAGGATCCTGATAGTTAATCTTGTTAAATCTCTTCCACATACCAAGCATTCGTATTAACCTTTTGTAATCAGACCTCTGTAAACATCATTGTTAATCTCTTTCTTGATCTATGACAAAAAAAACTGCAGGTGACGGTGGAGAGCCAGTCGTACCACAAATCCTGCTTCAAATGCTCCCATGGAGGCTGCCCGATATCCCCTTCAAACTATGCAGCCCTCGAGGGAATACTGTACTGCAAGCACCATTTCTCGCAGCTTTTCAAGGAGAAAGGAAGCTACAACCACCTCATCAAGTCCGCATCCATCAAACGCACGGCTGCAGCCGCAGGTGTACCGGCAACATCGGTACCCGAATCTTGAATTCAGAGCCTTGAGCCTTCCCCCATTTTATCTAACTGGAAATAGTTCTACAAACCCAGGTTCGGTTTTTGGTTCTTCCGTGTTTTGTGGGAGAGAGCTTTTTACTTGGATTTCTTGTTTCCATTAGATGAACTAAAGATCTTGATGTCTCTTCTCCCTCTGAGTTTGTTGTTGTGTCTGAATGTTCTGTCATGGCGATTTTCAGTTCTGGTTGTCTGTAAAATCTGAAGACGTTCTTATGGATGAACTCGTGTTCTTGTCAGTGTCTGTTGTTATAGCTTTTGTTTGTGGTTATTTTCAATGCATTTTGATATCCAATTACTTCCAGACTGGAGCAGAAGAAAAGCAGTGCTAATGCTATTTCATTCTTTGAATGTGGATGGAGACATGGCTGAGGTGTTTCCGGAATGTCTAATTGGTAGGTTACCGTTGGGTTTAGGGTTTTGGAATTGGATTGTAATCTTCAATGACAATATTAAGAAACAATTTTCAGTTCTCATGACATAATTTCCTCTCAGAATCATAACCATAAATCTCAGAGCATGTGACAGGAAAAAACTATCATAATTTTTACATTTCTTTAGTTACTTAGATAGTATCATGAACACCCATAATAAAAACAAAAATGGGGCACAATTTTTATTATGATTGCTCAATAAGTTGTAAATCATCATAAGTTACAAAAAAAAATACCAACCGACAAATAATGACATCAAACCCTGACAAGATTTACAATGAGATCAACCATACATTACAGCATTGATGACATGATATAATGCTTATGCAAAGGCCAGACACAAAAACACTTGCACACTTGAAACAGAGTTTCCGACTCACAAACTCACATGACTATCTCCGGCTTCATGATGCTTGATTTGATCTCCTTGTGTGGCAGAACAACACCTCCGTTGCTGTAAATCTCGTCGCAAACATGCACATCCTCCCCAAGAATCGTCATGTTCTCGACCCGAGCCCATTGCCCAACTGTGGAATGCCACCCGATGATACTGCTCGAGATGCAGGCATGTTTCTTGATCCGAACCCCTCTCATTACCGTGCATCGGGAGAGCCTGACGCCCGGCTCTACCACACATCCAGGGCCGATAGCAACATCCGGCCCGATCAAACATCCTTCCCCGATCTTGGCTGACTCATGCACGATGACATTTCCCACAATGTGTGAGCCTGTGGCTAACTTGGATGAAGACTTCTTTCTAAGAGAGTCTAGATAGAGTCTAAGGCCTGTGATATAGTCCCGAGGTTGGCCAATGTCCATCCAGAATCCCGGTAGCACCATTGCGTAGAGCTTTTGCTCGGCTGCAATCTTGGGGAATACCTCTTTCTCGATGGATGTGGGTCTCAGCTCAATCCGATCAAGAACAGAAGGGTTCAGAAGATATATTCCTGCATTGATCTTGTTGCCCACAAATATTTTGGGCTTCTCAACGAATTTTTCAACTTTACCGGTATTCTCGTCCGTGACCACAACTCCATATTTCGATGGCTCGTCCACCTACATGACATGCTCCAGATCACATAGGAAAAACATCAATAATGTGATCTTGAAAATAGGAGATTGGTTATTCACCTTTGTAACCATGATTGAGGCCTCTCCACCATGAGCTTTGTGGAAAGCAATCATTTCTTCGAGTGGGTACTCACTGATAACATCGCTGTTAAGGACAAAGAAAGGCTCGCCCGAACCATCAACCAGCTTGTCCCTGGCCAGAGCCAGAGGACCGGCGGTACCAAGTGGCTCGGTCTCTTGTGAGCAAGTGATCTTTATCCCAAGATTTTTCTCAAAGTCTTTCAAGAAGTTCAACATCACCTGTGGAATTGTTAAGCTCTAAGCATCACTATTCACACCACAAATAGCTTTAAATGAAAGTTTAGAGAGAGATTTTTTTAACCTCTGGCTGGTAGTTAATGGCCAAAACCACTTCATCAACTCCAATTGCCTTGAGAGCCTCTATCTGCAAGAATGTTTGGGACAGTCAATTAGAGTACATTTCAATTGTAGTATTATATTACTACACAAATGTGTATAGCTGACAAGATTGATTAAGAGAACATCAGTTTCGGTCTTCATATTTCTGAATTTGCCCACAACCAAGGCCGTAACCAGCTAAATATTATGAATCTCAAAGTAACAATGTTAAAGGAAAACACTTTTAAATTTTACAATATCTTGGATAGAGTAATAATAACAACCCTACAGAAACTACATTTCAAGAACAATGATCGTGGTACCTGATGAAGGATCATGGGTTTGTTTGCAAAGTCAACGAGTGGCTTCGGGAAACTGAGAGTCAGTGGCCTCAAGCGAGTTCCAAAGCCTCCAACGAGAATGAGTGCCTTCATTTTGATTCACTAACTCCTTTCCCTGTGGATGCCGAAGCCAGATCTTAAATTCACGGGTAACTAAAGCAGGGAAATCATCGCGTTTTAGACGACGCTGCAGATGACTTCATTCCCGATGTATGTGTAACAGAGTACACCAAAAGCAGAGGACTCTAACCGCATGCTTGAAGACATAGGACAAGAACATGAAACTATAAAAGAAAGAAGCCAAATCGACAGAGACAGAAACAAACATAACACAAGAAAAAAAGAAGCTGTTCATGCAAAATGTACTATAGAGAGAGAAAGAGGCATATAACAAAACATGTCCTAGAAAAAACTACACCACAGAGAATTACAGAGCAAACAAACACGAAAGCAGGACATCGACCAATATAAGTAGTACAAAGAAACCTGCAAGTAGATCAAACCAAATGGAAGCAATGGAAAGCCTGCAACTTTGAAGAAACAACTCAGAGAGCAACAGCGTTACTCAGACAAGAAATCAGATACAAAGGCTCGTCGGTTTCAAAATCTACAAAGGACAAACACTTTTGACACTAAATTTTGTCTATACACCGATTCAACTCATAAACAGGCAATTTAATCAGCTAAACGAGTTCACAGGAAGAAAAAAACATAATCACAGATACCAAGACGCATCACCCACCGAATCAATAACCTTATCCACATTACGACAGAACCAACCAATGACGATACCCACGTTCCCGGATTCAACTCGGGATCGAGGAAAAAAAACAAGCAAACAGGCTCATCAGTTCGCAACCAACACCAGATAATGATCATAATCACCGACAGTGATCCCGCACGAAGCACCAAGACAACAACCTTATCCGCATTACCCGGAATCCGGTCCTATATCGAATCAAAACCAACACCATCAAGCGCAAAAAGCCACCCAGAATTCAAATCACACGCGCTAAAACCCGTAACCAAGCAACAGATCTCACCGGAGAGATCAAGCTCGAACATTGCGGAGAATGAAGAGAAAATCCGCCATTTACCTTCTCGAGATCTCACGGGCTCGTAGAGGAACTGAGCGGAGAGAGCGAGCCACGGAGAAGAGAGCCCGAGTCGGACTCGCTAGATTTTTTTTTTTTTGGTGGAAAAAGAGCCCAGCTGATCTCGTCACGTCAGGCTGAGCTGTGAGAAGAGAGAAAAAAAACGTCGGTTGGCAAATGCAGACTTATCGAAAGGACTCTATTTTATACCTACACCTTGTGAAAAAACAATGTGCGCGTGAGTGCTTAACTCACAATATTAGACGAATAATCAAATTATTGAACTTTACTCTAAAATAATATATATATCTTGGAGTTTTAATTTCCTTTCTCGAATTTAATGTCTTAAATAGGAATCCATTAAGAAAATTAAAAAAAGGACAAAATTGGAATATACTATTAGACATGGATATTTGGGTTCTCATTTCCGTTTCAATCCGATTGTTTTTTTTTTATTATTTAAACTAAACTTTTTTATTTTGAAGATTTATATTTATTGAACTATTATTATTTTGGGTTTAGTCACGTTAGATTAGAATTTAGGTTTGATTAAGAAATTTTTATTTTTTTCAATTGTTTATTTATTTTATGTGTTTGACTGATATCGATAATTTAATTAACAGATTTATATATAATTACTTTTTTAAATACTATAAAATAAATTACAAATATTTATTACTTGTCTACGCGGTTATTCATCTCTTCATGAATTTTGCTTTCTACATCGTCAATATGTTCTGCTTTAAGTAGTATATATATATATATATATTGTTAACTTTTGAAATATGAAGTTTTCGTATTATCAAATGGAAAAAAGAAAACGTAAATGGCGGAGTCGGATTTCTTGCAGTTAATGGAGAGGAGAGTCCCCATACCGAGAAAGAAGACGAGAGCCTTTGATACGAATCCCCATCCCACCCACCGACACCACAACGTGTAATACTTTATAATTCTTTTGCCCAAATTTTTTTATTAATATCTATATTAAATATATAATATAAAACCTATTAAATGTATATATAAATACAATTTTATATAAATAAATCGGGAGAGTTCTAAGTCCTTTTTTTTAGATAATGTTCTCTACCTATAATGTGCGGCGAGATAGGGTTCCACTTCGTCTTTCTATTAATATATGACGTCAAAAATAACATGTAAATTGCAAAACTATATTAGTCTAACCCACATAAATAAATAATTAATGTAATCTTATAAATGCTTACAAGATAAATGGATATGGCATACACAAATATTTTAGTCTCCTTACATTTTTGCTTTTGCTTGAATTGGTTGTTCAGAATATTCGAATTTTTTAGTGATTTTATTTGTAATATTAAATGGATAAGCCTTAGTGAGATATTGTTTATTGCAAATGTGATTAGATAATGATTATAGCTGTTTTTTGCAATTGTAATTGTGATTATAAATATAATAATACTTTATCAAAAAAGGCGTAATACATATTATATATAATTATATTTTATATATCTGCCCCCACGTGATACCGACGTGTTACCTTAACTTTTCCAACTACATGAATCGGGAATTTTTAAGTATTTGTCACCAATTATTTAAAGTATTATTGGTGATATTTTGCATTTTAGTTAACTATCTTAGACTTTAGTCGTTTTATTAAAATAATTATTTTAAATTTTTTTTCGTTGTTGTGCTGTTTTTATCTTTTTTCTATTTAAATCCATAAGTTTATTAATGTGACTTGTTGGAATGAATTCATTTATATGTAATTAGGTTTATTACGGTTAGATTCCGTATATGTAATGGTTAGTAGTGTTGAAATAGGAAAATAAATATGTGATTGAAAGAAATATTAATTTTAAGATATGATTAGAAATAATGATGGATATAAATATCAAATATTGTGTATCGATCTTATTTATTTATATTTCCTTTTTATTTGTCTCATAGTTTTCCTATAAATATGTGAGTCATTTTCATTGTAATTCAACAAGAAGAAGAAGAGATGTAGCAATAAAGTAATTCCGTTTATTTTCGTTTGTCTTATTTTATTTCCGCATTTTATTTTTCTACAAGTAGTTTGATATCAAGAACATGTAGGAGAAACAAGGCTTGAGTGACCCAAATTTGGCTGGAATTATTTTAAATTATTTTCCGACAATAATTATATCCAAATTAAATTGCATTGACAAATAAATAGAATCTGTCGTGATCGGTTTAGGCTTTTTCCCGTATATATATTTTTTATTTTTTAGATTTGTATGTATTACTCATTAAATACAAACTTAAACTACATCGATGGTCTTTTGTCACGTTGACCAAAGCTAAATTGTAGAGTTTGACTTCATAAACAATGCTAAATCTTGACTTGTACCTATTTAAAATCAACACATTATATATAAATAATACGATACAATATTTAATGCGATTTCATACTTCTTTAGAAACTATACCCGGTCGATTGACAGTGTTAGAATAATTATTTATTATTTCTTTAAAAAAAACCGCGGATCATTGTTGAACGGTGATTCCATTTTACTATTACCACCATGCATGCATGCATGTATCGACGTATATACATGAATGACGTACCCATAAAATCTAGAGGAAAAAAATTAGTTGAAAATATTATTTGTATTCTAATAAATTTTATTTGTAACTCATTTTTTATTTCTATTAGTGTACTCCAACAAAGTTTTACTTATGTTATATATATATACACATGTGTGAACATACATGTTCGCATGTATGTATATCATGACGTACATAAAAACTTTCGCATCAACGTATATAATTCATTATTAAACTCCAATATCTATTTTATATAATCCAATCTATATAACCCGTATGCAGCATATATCGTATGCAACATCAAGAAAATATTATTATTTTTCCTTTAATAAAAAAATATTAATTTTTGGATCGCCTCCTTAGTTGGTATATCATGATTATGATGAAGTGAAATGTTGAAATATTTCCATCTCACATACACTACATTGCATATGGGAACAAATAATTACATAAGTGGATGGACTGCCTCTTTCTTTTGACCAATTTTCCAACCCATGGTCTTTTTGATTGCTATGTTCAATCTAAACATTTTTTATATATATATATATATA